AGCCTCCCCCACGAACATCGCTCTTTCTTTATTGTCATACGCGAGATATTCTCCGGTCGTCTCTCCCCCATAGTAAAGGAGACCGAGCACGATGTCATCCAAAGGCCGATTATCCAAGGTGGAGAACGCAGCGGAGGAGGAGGAGGTGTGCGTGGTGTGTTTCCGTCCCGTGGAGACCTACAGCATAGGGGAATGCGACCACCCCGTGTGCTTCGAGTGCTCCACCAGGATGAGGGTCTTGTGTGGCAGGAACGAGTGCCCCATCTGCAGGAAGAACATGGCTAAGGTCAGTGCTGAGAGGGATGTGTTGGGTGGTACATATTTTCACCCCCCAAAAAATTGAATTGAAAAGGGATGTTATTTAGGAGAATGTAGAGGGTAGGGTTGAGTTCTGGTGTAATTTTATATATATATATTTTTATTTTTTGCAGCTGTCTTTAGAAAACATATCTTTTATTTCTTTGTCTTCTACCAAGGACAAAAGAGTTATGTTATTTATCAAGGCAGATGTATTCACCTAGGTCCATTAATTAACACTGGTCAGTATTATATTTACTCGGGTGGAGGATTCGCTTATCTATATGTCAGAAATACTTGTCACTTTGCGAAAATATTGTGTTAATTTCAGCCGTTAAAGTTCAGCCTCATAACATATGGAGTTTCTCTATCATTCAACATTAAAGTGTTATAAATCATTTGATGGTTTAATTATAGATGTAATATTAACATGGCAGAATCTCCGTCTCGTTATGAAGTTATGTGCTTGTGGGCAATTTAAGTCTGACGTGGATTTATGCAGAAAGAATTGGCAAAATTTGTTTGAGCAAGTGAGTGAGAGGAAAAGATTAATCTTTACAGTACAGATGCACTTTAAGCTCCATGTCACAATATCTATACCAGCTTCAGTTGCACAAGCTTAGTGCATCCAAAGATTAACCAATGAAAAGGGTAAATCCTTACAGTAGGGAAGCACTTATGTGTCCCTAACTCCATGTCACAAAATCAATTCAATAATCTAAGTTGCGGTGACTGGGCTACTGGCCAAGGGAAGTCATTGTCTTCACCTCAGTATGCATGGCTAGATAGTGATGAAACTCGGGAGGACTGTGTGGACTTGGGCTCTCTGTGGTCTTTTTCCTTTATTTGTGGTGGTACTGTGTCTGGAGGTTATTTCTTGGATTGGAACTTTTTGTCCTCTACCAGAGTATGGTCTTCAATTTGCCATATCTTAATGAATCAGGCAGGCAGGCAGGCAGGCAGGCAGGCAGTCATGCATGCATGCAGGTACGCATGCATGCATGCATGCAGGCATAATTGTTTATGGTATGTTTGGTTATATTGTCTTTAACCCCTTGGTGCCGGGTATGACGTGTATGTACGTGCTATGCCCACCGTGAGTACTTGTTTGATTGTATTTACGCATAGATGGCAACACTTGTACTAATTCCCCAATGAGCCAGTTATGAGCACCGCCCGTCTCGCCCGTTTACCCGTTTCTATGATTTACAAAATATTTTACGTAATCTTATTTTGCTGTTACTAATGTTAAAAAAAATTATAAAAAATATAATGTTTATGATAAAAATAACATTATCGATTTTCATAGCACTAGTGAAAAATACGTTTTTCCCGCCATTTAAATCAGAC